ATCTGTTTTCATTATCTGTACTTTCTCTCCCTTCTTTGATTTTTGGTGAGATACTGGATCATACGAATACATACAAACACATACATTTGCTGAAATAAAACCATGTGAGACGTTTAGAGGGGGAAAAAAAACACTATCTTAAGGGGCTCATACACATCTGACATCCACACATAAAATGGAAAGACTCAAGCACAGTGCAAGTACATCAAAACCGTACTTAAGTAAATAACTTGAAGCAATGCAATTACCAGTTACTTTCCCCAACCGCTGCCCAGTGAGCAAGCACGGCCTCCAAAACACCAGCAATTAGACCCATTTCTTGGAACAGATGAAGCAATGAGGCTGTCAAAGAAAAAACTGCGGCAACAAACTGTAACACCACTATGGGGCTTTACATGCCGCTGCTTTTGTAATAGCAAAAGACATAAATGAGGACTTTAATCTGACGGAACAAAAACTGATGCAAGACGCGAGCGTGTCGGCCGTCACGGATTCATAAAGGCTCAAACCGTCTTGAATTTTTGGAGAATTTAAATGTTTTTTTTTAACCTAATAGATTCATTTCTGCATGTAGCTTCCATGCAAGTTGTTGCAGTTTTGAATCTACTACCAGTAAGTTATAATAAATAACACTTGGATGGTGATGTTCCTGAATGGGGACGGTGTTTTTCAGAGACTAGAGCCGAAGACAAGACGGTCTACTTCCACACTAACCTAAATATAGAAGCAATTCATCATCATACCGCTCAATTCATTGAGAGCATTAAAGCCAGCTCCCAGTATTGACCAAACCTCATTATGCTGTATGTCTTCTTTTTTTTTTCGTCTGTCATTGTGTTACGCAATTAATTACTGCTAATCCTCCGCTGGACCTCCATCCTCTGCTGGGAGACATGACACGACTGGAAAAAAAAACCTGTATACCTGCATGAGGAGGGAGAAACTGGACGAATTAGCTCGCGTTATAGCTCAATCTGCTGTATTTGCCAACCGTGGCGGCACAAACAGACAACGAAAAAGGCTCACACACACAGAGAAACCAGTTATTTAACATGTTGAAGAGTGCAGGTCCTCGGGCCACGTCTAATCAAAACCTGGACGAGCAAATAAATCACTAATTAGAAAGCCGGGCGTTGATTGCCGGCCTGACTCTTGATGAGAACTGACTGTCCTTTCCGTGGTAAATATCAAGCCCGTAATTAGATGAGCAGTCAAAGATCCTGTTGAATCAGGTAGTTAATCAGTTGCTAGGTGGTATTAATACGAACCTGCAAAGCAACAGAAACCCCAACCCTGTTTACACGTCGACGCCGGCGCGCACGAGGTCAATTGCCAATTTGAGCCATTTCTGCGTCCTCTCTTTTAATTTAGCGCGAGACATTAAGAAATATTAGGTTCTAGTGCTGGGTGTAGTTAGACAATCAATCCCCACCGATAAATTTAATCATTTAAAGGCTGAGAGAAGAACCGGAGTCATTACCCAACAACAGTCCACTTCCGCGCCGGCTACGAGGAGCGTATATCCACTCCTGCCCAGCAAGCAGCCCTCTACTCATAAATGTAATTTTGCCTCCAGTCAGACTGCTAATTTAGCCATTGACTTCCATCACAGGAGTCGATAAATCATGCTCAGCAAAGTGCGAACCAATGACGCATATGGTGACTATTACCTTCCAAAATCTATGGGTGATAAAAGTGTCAACAGGTTGCGGGCCATTACACAAACATCACCGGCTGGAAGTACGACGGCGGCGAGGCCGGCTGAGAGCGAAACAATATGAAGATGGAGAACGCTCCGACGCCTGCTTGAGTATTTTCAGGTCATCTCAGGATGTTGGGTGGTCTTCACCCTCATCCTCTAAAACACTCCAGCACGGTCCATTGAGAATTCATGCGAGATGTAGTTTAAAGCAGCAGCA